AAAATTTTAAATGATAATCTTTTAGGAATAATCAGGTGATATAATATTAACAAGAATAATATTATCTTTCAACAAGATAATGATTCAAAACATATGGCAAAATCTACTTATGAATGGTTTGATGACAATGATATTCATATACTTGATTGCCTGTTCAATCATCTGACTTCAACCCAATTGAGCATCTCTGGGAACAAAATAGACTGGTGTTTGAGAAGATCATTCATCACAATTCATATTCAAGATCAACTCTGGAATGTGATACAAAAGTCTGGATAATGCATTTTTAACGAATCTAATTGAAAGTATAGAGAAGCGTATCCAAGATGTAATTGATGCAAAGGGTGGATACACTAGGTGGTAAGGAATATTTAGTGAATTTTTATTCACTAGTTGGTTAGAAATCTTAATTTTGCACTTTTGTAATCAAAATGATCAAAAAAAGCGGATCATTTAATTTGATGTAAAAATGGTTTGTTTTTATTTTTTAAGTTATAAATGAAAAAATACAATAATTCTTTTATATTTGGAAGTCAGTTATATATTATTTAACGTTGTGTACGAGAAGTTATTGCATCGCAAAATTTATCCGATTTAAAAAATCGATCGACATAATACGCTTAATTTTTACGTGTGACAAATCGTGTGACTGATTAGTAAACAAACTTACGATGGATTACTTTCGCGAGAATGATCCTTTTAAGTGGTCACTTGTAAGTTTTTTAAAATGGAGAGCTTACAACATAGTTTTAAAAGACTGCGCTCAAGAACACGGTGCGTTCAAGTCTTTACTCAAGAACATCGTTAATAATGACAAAGACAACATTCGTACACAGAAGGCGAAGGAACTACTTGATAATTGGCAGGTATGTTTAGTGTTTCGTGGTAGGTTTGGTTGACGGGTCAAAAGCATGCCCTAGTGTTTCGTGGATCCTTTTGAGTTCCGCACTTTGTGCACAATCGTCCCTTTGAGTCAGTTGGCTTTTGGCAGACCTTTTGAGTCATTGCTGTGACACACTGGTGGTCCTTTTGAGTCACCCAGTGTTGATCCTTTTGAGATCGTCACAGTTCGTCAATATTACTGTGTTATTTATTATGTTTTCCTATGATATTAAAGATTGTTATTAATTATTATGTTCTTAAAATTAATGTGCTTGTAAGGAAATTAAATGTTCCCCAGAAGTCAGGATGTTCTGGAATGATCTCAAGACTCAAAATTTACATCAAGATATCGAGTACGCCAAAACTCGTAATGAACTGAAATTGTTCCAAATTGAATCCGAAGATGTAAGAATTTTTTAATTTTATTTACAGCTAATAGATTTTTTTGTTAGCTAAATTATGTTCTTGATCGAAGCAAAAATTTGAACTTCACTACGATTGAAAATAAAAGAAAGGCGATATTGAAAAGGGTATTATGTGCATTCTTTTTTAGTTATAATAAAGATTTTATCTAAAAAGAAACTCATCGTATTTCAATATTTTAGGATAGCGATTTGTCAGAAGATCAGAGTAAAAGTTCAGCAGAAAGCCAGGTATTATTTCCAAATTATAGTGATATTCGGAAGCTTATTATTAATATTGTTATTTATTTCTCTCGCAGATAAACGAAGAAATTAAATGTGCAAGATCTCAAAACAGGCAAGTAAAAATACAATCTGCGATATATATAGCTTATAACAATATTTGTCATTATCTATTCCAGCACGTTAGATAGAAATGACGAAGAATTGGTAAACAAAAGCATTGTACAAGATGGTAAGAATGAGCCCTATTTTTTGACCTTTGTTCAGGTATTTGATCCTCTAACTTTGACATTATTATTTATTATACAGATGGATCTCAAACTCCTCCTCATCAAATTGTCAGCAACACATACAACCCAGCAATATCAATTAACGAAAATATTTTAAGAATGTCTGCTGAAAGTTTAGCGAGTTTAGAAGAACCAAAGGTATTTGTTTGAAGATATTATTTTAGCGTGCATATAATAAATACTCAATAATTTTTATTGACAGTTTTTCAATGAATTTATCCCACATTTTCTAAAATATAAGGAATTAGAAAAAGATAATGCATTTTCGTAAGTATTTGAACTGCTTTAGGATGTATCTTATAATGTTATAGTTAATATCTTCTCAATTTATAGTTGTACAAATGATGACGTTATGGACATTCGAGGAGATAGTGGGTTTTCAAAATTTTTGTCAATGAATGAATATATAAAATTACTATCAAAAAAACCAAAAAGGAATGTTAAATTACCGGATCATTGGTGTAATATTATAGAAGAATACTATAAGGTAATAGTATATTATAGTTTTCATTTGTTATTAACAACAAATTATTTACAGATTATATTACTTTATAGGAAACAACGGAACGTGGATCAAGAAAAAATATTTCTGATTGGATTCGCATTACAAAAGAGTTGAATGTTCTAAAAAAGGAAGATACTGAAAATATAATAAAACTTAAGGAATATTTATATCGAGCTATGCTTCCATTGTAAGTATTGGTTAAGGTTTTATTATTATTTGTTGCCTGTTATAACTAATATCTTATATTTCAGAATTGAATCATTCACAAAACCGATCCCAGATATCAATGCCTCAAACAGTAGCGAACACCATTATTGGTCAGAATTTGGTCATCGTTTTTTTTCAAATGCGTTACAAAATTTTGTAAATTTAGATTGGAGAGCGTAAGTGTTGAATTTAACTGTCATTATATTATATTGAATCTATTTTTTTTTTCTTAGCATGGAAGTCCCTGTACAGGCTTCCAAATACAGAAAAAATTACGGATATAACCACGCGATAGACAAAGTGGTTGATGGAAAATATGCCGACTTATTGGCATGGATGTGGAAAACTGGCGAAGAAATCTTTATCGGGGAACAAGCTGGGCCTCCTACTCAACCTGACCTCACAAAATTAGCTACGGATTCTTTTAAATTATACAGAGAAATGAGAGATTGCCTGAATTCTAGAATATTACGTGCTATGGGAAAAGGGGACATAAATTATAATAACCGTGCTGTTTTTGGAGCATTAGGTTATCTTTTCGAAATCAAAATGCTTATAATGTGGAAAGATGGTGTGTATGTATATGAAGAATATGGAAGTTTAAATATTGCTTCTAATTCGGATCAGATTTCTATGATGAAGGCAGATATGCTAAAATTGCTGGAATTTATGGTAAGTTCATGTTAACGAAGTAATAAAAACTCTTGATTCCTAATTGATCTATTCTAAGTTAATTCTGTTATAGATGATCATTAAAACCGAAATGGAAAATACTATGACAACAGAATATAATAGTGATTCGGTACAGATTTTAAAAAGAAAATTTAATGAAATTATTCAAACAAAGCCATCGCCTTCAAAAGTTGCAAGGTTAAGAGATAAATCTATGTTATGGAATATTTTTATAACATAATATCCAGCTTTTAGAAAAAATGTTATTTTTGTAAATAATATCATTGAAAATTATAAATAATAAATCAAGCGATTTTTACTGTACATTGAGTTAGTATTCAAAATTAATGGTTTAGGACTTCATTTCGTGAAAGCTTTAGATTTATTCAATAAGATCCAATTCTCGAAGATGCTCTGGAATAACTATATATGGGTCTTCGTAGTACCAAACATACCTTAAAACGATCCAGTTTTCTTCACGTAATTCTTCCTTGAGTTGATCCCGTTCTTGCTGTTTTATAAAATTATTAGGATCTCCATTATGAAAGAATTTGTGATATTTTTTATGCTGAAGTCCTTGCACTTCGATCGCAAAACCATGATTATATTAGGGAATATCAAGTTCTAATCCGTTTGGATTTTTCAGGCGGTTTCAAAAATTCTGGTCTACGATTTGCCGATGGAGACCCAAGATATTTTGACACTATTTCTCGACACAAATTTTCACGCTTATTTTTACAATATGGACACCAAGATTGTGATTTCGAATAACATAAAATGATGTACACAAAGTATGACCTTCAGCACATTTCCAATAATATAGATCTTTAGATTTGGTATATTTTTTAGGAAAGGATTCACCGCCACGTAAATGAGCAGTTTTTTGCAACTCACTAAAATTTAATTTAAAACCATTGTGGACACCAAGTATTGTGATTTTTAATACTTGACAAAGAAGCATACCATATATGTAATTTATTGCGTTGCCATAATAATGAAGTTTTATTATTGGTATATTCTTTTAGCATAGCCCAGCTCATCGGCTTGGCTCGGTGTGCCCGCATCCTCACGCTCAGTTTCTCCAAGCCAGTGGTGGTCTCAAATTCTGTGACCACGGAGAGCACTCGAGGATCCTGGAAAGACCTCGTCCACCATTCTTTTAGCAATTGGACAAGCCTCTTTCAAGGTAAGACGAACATTGCCTACACAATATGGGCACCATTTACTATGATCTTTTATACGATTAAGAGGTGCTGACCAAATATGTTCTTCTTTGCATTTCCATTCTAAAAGGGGCTTTTAGCGTTAATATACTGAATAGAAAGGCATTGTCTATCGCGTTTTCTAGCGATTATATAAGCATCACTTAAAGATATTTTTCATTATAATAGATTGATACTATTAATATTGATTCTATTTTTTAAATATAAAATCATGATTTGATACATACATCTCTAGAATAGTAAGATATAAAAAACATATGTTCTATTTCAAACAAATGGAAAGATCGGTCAGCTCAAAAATATGAGTGGCAGATAGGATGTATTTATATTATTTATTGTATTAAAATTATAGAAATAAAAATTATTCGATTATCAAAGCTTGTTTTACTTATCTAATTTAAAGCAGTATCCCAGCCTTTGCGAAGATATAGAGAGTCTTCTTTTGCTCTAGTAAATCAATTATAATAAACTCTCGACCTTGCAGATTTTTATCCAGTATATCAACAACATTACGCCAATTTTTTGTATAACATCTGGCAATATTAACCATCATATGTGCCCACACCATTAAATAAACAGATGTAATCCAGGTTTTTCCAGGACAGTCGAAGAATGATTGTGTAATGTATATATTAGAATGTTGCCCTTCGGTGAAATAAAGAGTAATTCTATCTTGTATTTTTTTAGGCTCATTACATACATCTTAGAATATAGCAACTGTTTCTCTTTTAGGAGAGAATTCTTCTATCTTTGATATTTTATCAGGTTTTAATGCTCAAGATGTAATATATGATTTTGGGCTATTTGCAATTAAAATATCTTATCTCCAAGCAAAAGATTAATAATCATATTTGTTTTCCCAGATCTAGTTCACCCACTGACTAATAAGTTAAAAGATCACTGAGATGTTAAATTAAGATCATTAAAATGCTCTGAATTTGTATATATATCAATATTAATTACAAATATTTTACATGAATCAAAGCTTTTCTATTTTCATTCTAACTAAGATAAGTAATGTTAAATTATTATATCAAAAATAATGATCTTTACAAGATTATTCTTTATGTGATAAATAAACTTTCACTTGCAATTTGCTTTTATATATGGCAGAATATCTGAGTTATAGGAAATTTTAATGAGATTTATATCTTCTTACTTATACAGTGGCGATCAAATGTTTTGCATCACCTGACCGGCAAACTTCACGATTCAATAATTTTTTAAGTAGATAATGAATAATAATAGTTTTTTTCAATTTGATTTATTAAATCCTAAATAACACGAAACTACCTTTATTTACTTTATTTATTAAGCAAAAACTCGAAAAAATAAAAACATTTTCTATTTTTCGCGATGCATTTCTTTTGCTCGTTTATACAAAATGTAAAATTTTGAAAAAATAAAATGAAAAAAAAATAAAATGATCTAATTTTTTTTAAAAAAAATTATCATTCACCATTCAGTGTATCCTCCCTTTGCATTATAAACATCAATAATACGTTGAGGCATACTTTCAATAAGACTATTTAGATAGTCCATATCCATATCAATCCAAACTCGTTGAATAGCCTCCCAAAGTTGATCTGGATTAGCAATTACTACGGATGAACGTCGTATTTGACGATCGATCTCATTCCAAAGGTGTTCTATTGGGTTTAGGTCAGGCGAATATGACGGCCACTTGAGTTTCTCTATATCATTATGATAGAACCATTCTTTAGTTTCAGTTGCAGTATGTTTGGCATCATTATCTTGCTGAAAAATAATATTATTTTTATTTATTCCATGCCATCTGATTGTTCCTAATAGGTCATCAGTTAATATTTGCCTGTATAAATCTCCGTCCATTATCCCAAAAATACGTACGATGTTACCAACCCCAAAAAAAGAAAAACACCCCCATACCATTACACTACCACCTCCAAATTTTTTTGTAGGGATTACGTTTCGCTCATTAAATGGTTCATTAGGCCGTTTCCAACAGTATTGACGTCCGTCGGAGCCAAATATCTTGAATTTGGACTCGTTGGACCAAATTACACGACGCCAATCCTCAATTCCCCAAGCCTTATATTCTTTAGAAAAATTGTAACGAGCATTACGAGCTTTTTTATCCAGAACGGGTTTCTTTCGCTTGATCCGGAAAGATAATCCATTTCTTCTTAATGTGCGTTTCACAGTATCTGCGCTTACTTCAATTTTTTCATAGACTTTCAGGTTTTTTTGAATTTCTACTGCATTAGAACATTCACCATTTGCTAGTAACCGTATGACACTACGCTCATGACGTGATGTAAATATTCTGGGACGCCCTGATTTTGGTAAATCTTCAACAGTGCCAGTTTCTTTGACCTTTTGACATATCCGAACCACAGAAGACTGTGCTACATTTTCTTTTTCTGCAACAACATGGGTAGGGTAACCTTCTTGAACTAGTGTGATTATACGTGTGCGTTTTTCCTTGGAAATACGGACCATAATTTTTATTTATAGGTGGGTGGCTACCAAAACAAAAAGTGCGAAAAAAAATATATGACTTTCACTAGTAAAAATTTTTTGTTTGTAAAAAAATTTGGGGAGTAGCTTATGCCGTAATTTTTTATTATGTAAACGATCATATGATTTGCATCGCTACTTTTGGAAATATGTGAACAGAAAAACCGGAATTTTACATAATATTGCATGTCAAAGGTTATTTATTATATCTGTGCTACTGTACTTTCGAATCGTTTATTTTTTTTGTACTTTACTATCTATAGATCGCGAGATATCACGATTTCTTTTTTGTGATCCAGATGATGCAAAACATTTGATCGCCACTGTATATCTTTCACTTTTTTTGATCTTACTGTTTCTGTAAAAGTAAATCAGTTTTATTATTAGAATAAAAGCACTTTGAAACTAATCAATTAATATTGTACTTCTTGAAATTTTTATACTAATTTTAATTTTTTATTATAACTATCCAAATATAAGCCTTCCAAAAATTTATTCAAATATGATGAGAATTTTTTATCTAGCAAATTTTCAAATATATATTAATAATTACACTCTTTAATATGATAATATAAAAAATACCATTCAAATTTATATTTCTGAATCTATAAGATATTTCTTACTAATAAATTTTTAAATAATCAAAGATATATTTAAAAATATTTATTCATCTAGTTTTATCAAAATATTTTTGTTATACTTTTTAATATATATAATAGTCTTGTTAAATTTGTTATTAAAAATATGAATAAAAAAATTAATTCAAAATATTAATTTTTTGATAATATACTTTTAGAATAGAAGTTAAAATATATTAATATTTATATATAAAAGCTCTTCTTTTATAAATATTTTAGTAGAAGTATATTTATTATCACTTCCAAGATAATATATAACTAACTTATTTTTTAATATTATAATTTTATAATTAAATAAATAAAAGAGCTAAATATAGAGTTTATTACTTAATATATTAATTTCAGATTATTATATTAGCAAAAAATAGCAAATTATAATATATTATCTTTTTTTAATTTTTTCTTATTTTTTCTAATAAATTACATTTATAATATTATTATAATATAGACTTTTTTATATATAATTTATTAATTTATACTTATATTTTTATTAGATAATTATTTAAGTATATTTTATTAGATAATAATTAAGATAATATTATTAATAGATATTTTTAGATAGTTTTATAAGTATAATAATCATAATGAAATTATTATAGCAAAGTTAATAAAATTATTATAATAAAATTAGTAATACTATTATGAGAAAATTGATATTATAATATTAGTAAAAGTAATATTTAGATTATAATAAAAGTATTATTTATAAAATCTCTAAAATATATAAAAGTAATATAAAAAAAAATAAATTAATTAATAAAAAATAAATTAATAATTAATTAATAAATTAATAAATTAAATAATAATAAAGGTGAAATAATAATTTAAACATAATAATATTATAAATTAATAATCTTTATTAATAATATCTTATTTATTATAATATATTTATTATATTATAATTCTAGATTATATTCTAGCTAATCATATTATGAACATATTTTTATTACTTATCTTTAATCTTATTATAATCATAATCTAATATCTATTATATTATATCTTTAATTATATTAGTTTCTTCTATCTGTAATTAATAATATCTTTATTATATCTTATTCTAACCAAATATTATATATAAAGTTATTAATCTATTATAAAATAATCTTTTTAAGATATATTAAAAATAATAATAATATTAATAATTTAGATTCAATTTTCTTTAATATAATAGTCTTTAAAAGAGCTAATCTTTATTTCAAATATTTAATAGCTCTAATAAGATATATAAAATATTTATTAAGAAATATTTAACTTATATTTTTATTAATTTAGAATCTGAAGTTATATTTTTAATACTATATTAAATCTTATATAGTATTTTTATTAGAGTTTTATTAAATCTCTTTATAATTATTATATTATAATTAAAGATAACTTTATAACTAATTACAACTTTAATAATTAATTAAAGAATTATAATAGAGTTATAATAATTAATCAAATTATAATAAAAATATAAATTAATAACTTAAATTATTATATTATATTCTTTTATTAGTTAACTTACTAATTATTTAAACTTTAATTTATTATTATATTATAATATTTAAGAATAAATAAAAGAATTATTTGAATTATTATAAATTTTTCTAAATACTTTAGTAATCTCTAAATTTTTCTTTAATATAAGAAAAATATTCATTTTGACTTTACTAATTATATCTATTTTTATTTATTTTTTATCTTTATAATAATTATAAGTAAGAAATAAAAGATTATACTAATATATATAATTTAATATTATAAATTGA